GTCAATTTCTCTCTTCTTGTAAAGTTGTAATTATTTTAATTATTTTTATTTCCAAACTGATTTTAACCAGTTCTATAGTAAGGTAACATTCCAATAGACAATATGCAAAGCTTTTTTTTCAGTTTACAGCAGTATTTATTACACAAAATTTAAGTAAAGCTTAACATGCCGATCTTGCCCCGATCTCCCCTATATTTTTTAACTAATAAATAACATCTGACTGGAAATAATTTTTATAATAATTATTAAAATAATATATCAAATATTAAGAAAATATAATATTTTTATCAAATATTATATTGTAAATGTCGTAGATAAATATATATCTATCTTTAACGAAACGAGATATTTTGGGTATTTTTAAGTCACGAGTTATCGATATTTTTTTAGATAAAAAAGAAAATACTAAAGGTATCGATTCTGTAAACACTTATAAACTTGTAAACTTCAAATATCATAAAGGAATAAGATTAATTTTTAATTTAATCATATCTTGATCCCAGTGAACTTATTTCTGACTGTTGACAGTTCTTAATTATAATATTGTAATATTAATTACTATGAAGAGTGGATTTTTTTTGGAAAGGTCACAGGAAACTGTACAAAGAAACTAAAGATCTTGTTATTAAATAAATAGCTAGACATAAAATATTTAATAAATAGATAGATGCTTGAACGGAACTGAAATAATTCTACGGGAATGGTCATCGATCATTTCGAATGTCATTTTCTTTATAATACACTATAAACCGCTAATTGGGATTAGTTGTGACTTGCTTAAACAGATAATAATAACCGACGAAAATATTAGAAATATTGGTTTATAGTAGGGCTGTAAATAAGACTACAGTTAGTGGAAGTTCTGTTGACTATCATTAAAAGGATGTGTTAAAACAATTAATAATGTATACCTAGGAGATACATTTATTAATAGTAATTCAACTATTATTATTTACTGTTTTTGCAGCATCATCTTTAACAAGAAGATAATATTTAATTAAAGTTAGAAATTTCAGTAATTTAAATTACTGTACCACAAATAAATAACGATTAATATAACAATCGTTTCACATTTAAAGCATTGATGAAAACTGATAATGATAATTGATAACTGAACAATTGTAAGCTATCAGTTTTATGTAGAAGCTAATAGGGCGAAAAGATAGTTTATAATGCTTATTTAATGATAATTATAACCGAAACTGTGATTACAATAAACGATTCTACTATATTTAAATACATAAAAGTCTGTTGTCTGTAGTAAAAAAATATTTGTTTTTTGTTAAATTGTGTAATAACGTTATAAAAATATTTTTTAGAACTAAAATTTCTATTACAGATTAATTTATAGTAAAAGAATTACATAAAATTCAGAAGATAATTACACAAATAAGCTTAATTTATTTCTATTCCATAAACTACTGAAATTATAAATTTTTAAAATTTACGATTTTTTTATTATAAGGAGAAAAAAAGTATTTATAAAGATTATATCGTAATTAGTTTTTGAAAATGTTCATATCATAAAACGTGAAATTGAAATTCAAAAACTTTCTTTACCTTTTTCAATATTTTATAAAATGATAGTTTTTATATCATATTTAGTAAAATTATTTTTGCATCAAAAATTAAAACGATTTAATATTAATATCCTCCATATGCATTTATACCGAAAATGTTTTCGTAAATAATTAAGTTGAAGTTTTTTGATTAATATTTCATGCTAGAAGATGATATGACTAGTTTGTAGATGAAATCTGCATATCTAAATGCAGTTCATGTATCGAATATAATTATAAAATGGTTTAATAAATTATAAGTAATTTCTAATAAAATCGATTATATAATAAGATATGATCTATTAGTTTTTAAATGAAAACTATATAAGAACCATTATAACTTTTAATCCTCAACGATTTTATAAGTTTATATTTATTGTTATTTAATTAATTTACCAGACTCATAGAAAAACACAATAAACAATAGATTCTCAATATTTTTACACCATTTTTAGTCTCGATTGGATTGATGAGATAAGGAAACTCAACACATGGACGATCTGCCAAAGGGTAGACTTTCTATGAAAGACTAGTTTAGGTGTTATACCTAAAAGGTGTGTAACTTTTAATAATATGAAAACTTTCAAAAACTAATTACGATATAATCTTTATAAATATATTTTTTATCCTTATAATAAAAAAATTGTAAATTTTAAAAATATATAATTTCAATACTTCAAGGAATAGAAATAAATTAAACTTATTTTTATACTGATCTTCTAATTTTCCATGTAATTTGTTTTACTAAAATTAATCTATAATATAAATTTTAGTTCTAAAAAATATTTTTATAACATTATTTACACAATCTTAGCAAAAAATAAATAATTTTTTTTTTACCATAGGCAACAGACTTTTGTGTATGGTTCTATTGTATTTAATTTACGATAAAAACTTTGTAGCTACATTTATAATAAAATGAAAAATATTTTAATTTCAATACTTGCCATATCATAATAAAAAAAAATTTCAGCAACGACTTGCGTAGCTGTCCCGGCAAAAATATTTACAATTGCCTGTGGCACCATCTGTTATGATATTTTATGTAATCTACTGTATTATTATTACGATTATTAATTTTTGAAAATTATCGTTGATATTAATGTTTAGGATACTCACTTATGATAATTCTCTTGTTTTATTTAGATGTTTCGTGAGTGTCACTGAAATTAAAGATAAAAGAAGTTTAATAAAGAATATTGTTATACCTTAACATCGACTTTAAAGGTGCAAAATACCCAGAAGTGATTGTAGATGTTAATTGTGTTTGCTTTTTGACATCTTTAAATCAACTGTTGAATAAAAAATTCAACAAGTCTTTTCAAAAATAACATTTGAAAAGATTTTTTAAAAAATCTGTCAATATTTTCAGTGTAAATAGACAATGAATTGCAATATCTTCTTTGAGAATGTGATTCAAATGCTTTATAAAATGTTTTAAAGTTAGGAAGTACAGTACAATATACAATTGTTGTCTTTTTTTATATATAAGTTATATTTATAAATTCGGATTAAAATCCTTAAAAATGGTGAAAATTAATAAAATAACATTTTGAAAAAGTTAAATAAAAAAGCATAGAAAGCAAAATAAAATTATCTAAAGTAATTAAATATTATTATTAAATTATTGATCAATAATTAATTAATGATATTACTTTTATTTTAATATAATTTAAAGAAAGCTGATTTCTTTATACATTTTACATAATTATTTGATTATTTCTTAGATAAAAAGCACTTCATCCATTAATTAGTTTTCTACACAGGTTATGCATAAAATTTTAATTTTTTCAAAATATACTGCAAGTTGAAAAAAATTTAGTGTTTTATTATCAGTTTTGGAAACAATAATGAGTATAAATATTTCATATAATAGAAGAAATTACGACTAAATTTTCTTTATTTACTGTATTCATAAAAAAATAGCAAATTCTAAAATTTGTTGATCAATAGACCTATTTTTCGTTTATTTTCAATTAATAGTCTTTATATGCAAATTATGTTTGTTTTTTGGCTCTTTTTGACCTGTGGGCATTAAAAAAATCTTTACGCATCGTGGGTTCGACCAAGCCAAACCCACGATCGAGTGGTGAAAGATAGAGCCCGATATATCCGGGAACTTGCATGAAAAATTTTCGGGAAAGTCTGGACCCGATCCCGGATTCACTAAAACTAATATTCTGGTTGACGCCTCAAACTCCTCGATCTTCCCCGCCGATCAAATTACATATTTTTCAGCACATCAATTACACGAAATGAACAACACGAAACTATTCTTTGAGAATTAAAATGAGTTATATTTATAAAGAAAATTGTTTGCTTAAATCTTTTATTATATTTAATATAGCATTATTTATTTGGTTGTTTCATTTCATAACATTTTAAATAAAATTTTAAAAAAATCAGCGAATTTTGCTATAGGTCCATTCTATTATTAAGAAATAATATTTTAAATAATTCGTATAATATATGAAAAATATTTATATTTCTATCGGAAAGCTTGAAATAATATGGAAAGGTTAAATTTTACCTGTTTCTTAGTCATTTCGCTTGCTATATTACCGAACAATTTATTTAAAGAAATGAATATATTATTCATATAATAATAATTGTTTTTGTGCCATTATCTGAAATTCTCAAAATCTAATGAAGAAATTATTAAATGCTTAATTCGTAACAGTAAACACAATTTCCAATAACGACTGTTAATAAAACCACTGAATACTAGTGTTGGTCGTGGTTGGCGCCTCACTAATGGACTGGCCATGTGAAGTTTTCTAGGATTTCTTCACATATTTAACAGCTTAGTAGAAATCAGTTTCCTATAATAGTCTTCACTAAACCTTACTCTCCACATCTTTACTCTCGTACTCCATGCATTAAGATACAGGGTCGATCCATTCACATTGTCTCTCACTTGAGGTTCCTTGGTGTTGTCCTGGAGCATAAACTTTCTTGGGGTCTCCACATCCATCACATTACTGATAAAACTACTCTTATATTTAATAACTTACAAAGGATTGCTAAGAAACACTGGGGGCTTAATTATGCTGCTCTAAACTGTATTTACAATGCGGTCTTCATTCCCATTATCTCATATGCTGTGGCTGTCTGGGAAAGCGGTGTCTTTCTCAGTCACAATTACCGCCGTCTTCAATCTGCTCAGCGTAGGGCCCTTCTCAGGCTTACAAGAGCATATTCTACTGCCTCAAATTATTCTCTTCACAGGAAGTTATCAGTAGGAAGGTACCTCTGGATCTATACTTGAGGCACATTGCTTGTACTTATCATATTAGGAAAGGCCATGACATCATTATGAACTCTATCTCCTATGCTGAAGGCACCTATGAGACAGATATACCATTTACCAACCTTCCTCATCCAGAGGTGAGAAGTGGGTTTGACACATCCTTTACAGTTGCTGCTGATTATATAATCTTCACAGATGGATCAAAGAATGCAGAGGGCACGGGCTCGGCCTTCGTCGTTTTTGCCAATGAGGAGGAAATATATCAAAATTCTGACACTCTTCATCCTAACTGCTCTATATTCCAGGCAGAACTCTGTGCCATTTACATGGCTGTTCAATGGTGTGAAGCCAATCTTACTGGAAGTAGAGTTACAATTTGCTCTGATAGTGCTTCAGCAATCAACGCACTTAGGAATCTCAACAACCTACACCCTCTGGTTAGGAAGATTCTAAACTATATACCTTGTGCTCAGAACTCCTATTCCCTCGAATGGGTGAGAGGTCATCAGGGTGTCCTAGGTAATGAACGTGCAGATCTACTTGCCAGGGAGGCTGCAACGATCGGTACCTCTGGCCCTTTCAATTATTCAGTGCTACCTGCTTCTTTTCTTAAGCTCCAGCATTGGAACTACAGCTTGGATCTCTGGCAGCAGAGATGGGATAGTTACAATGGCCTTGCCAGGAACTTTTTTCCATCTATTCATGACCACCTTTCTAACCACTGGGTTAGTCCGGACTATGAAACCACGCAATTCTTCACTGGGCATGGGAGATTCCGGGCCTACTTACAGAGGTTCGGCAAATCTACAACGGACATCTGTACCATCTGTAATTGCCGTGATGGGGTTGAGCACTATGTATACATGTGTCCAATGACCGAGGATGCTAGGCATGAGCTTGCCCTTGCTCTTAGCCACAGGGGAATTAACTGGCCATGTGAACTTCATGTCCTTCTTAAGGATAGTGACACCTACAAAGCATTCAAAAAATTGATTCATATGTATCACATACGCTCTGTCATTCACTAAGTTAGTCAAGTCTGTCATCAGGCATTATTTTCATTTGCTTCTTGCACATTATTGTATATACATATCATTATTGTTCTGCTGCAGCATATATCTGTATAATATTTATTATTACTATTAGTATTGTCTATTTTAATTTACCGAACATGTTATTCAACTCTCATGTTTTGTATAATATCGGTTGATTTGTATTGGTCATCTTACCATCTGTTCATACTTTTCAATTGTCATACTGTTTGTACGTTATCTGTCTGTTATTATGTATGTATTTACCTGTGCTTTCACATATCTCTGTAATTAACCCGATTATGCTCTTGCGGTATCGGGAATAAATAAAGATAAAGATAAAGATAAAGTCCTCCTGGAACACTGATCCGTTGGCATTGCATCTGCTAACGGAATAGTGATTCGACATTGTATTGCATATGGCACTGTACTGCATTGCCTAATTCCATCAATCCAATCCTATACGCTCAAAGTATAAACTTCGAATGAAATATTAGAAATGAAAACAAATTCAGTTATTATATATACAGCATATTAAATATAACTATTGTAAGAATATCAATTAAAAGGCAGGCTAGATGTGTTAATAAATGTTAGATTAAAACATGGTGAAGTTCCTATTGAGGCAACGATGCTGAATTTAATTAAATTTTATGTTACGAAATAGGAATATCATTAAATAAAATAAGGTAATATTAAACTTTTATTGATCTACACTAAACAAATACAAAGTTTCATTGAAATCCTTTAATATATATCTGGATCTGTTCTTTTAAATTCGTTCTATATGTGAATTATATTTTAACACACATATGTATGGCATTATTTCGTTTTATTTAGTTTTATTGGGCTATTTAAAAATGTAAAACAAATAGTAAACAATAAAACTGTGTTAAAGTCTTTAAGAATATCAAATCTTTTAGAAATATGTATAGAAAAATATATATTTTTTATAAACTTTCATGAGACATAATAAGTATAATAAATTCATGGTAAAATCTTTTATATTACCTTAAATTATTTCATATAAAACTGAAAAAAATTTAAATCATCTTGAATATAAAATAATAATACTGATTTAATATTAAGTTTCTATCTTCGGATTTACGTTTTTATATCAAAAATTCAATTTTCTTACATTTTTCCACTTGAACCTTTTGTTAAATTTGATATAATTTATACTGTATTTAAATAATAAAAGATTAATGTTAACAACATTGCAAACACAACTGAATATAAATTAAAACACAGAGAATTAAATTAATTTGATTAGTTGTTTCAAAATGCTGATTTACTGCAGAAAATTCTTATTTTTCAAAGAAAATTTCAAATTTAGTTATTAATGTCACAAGTAAAACTGAAGGATTTTATTTATTCGATAGACTTTTACACAAAACTACTAAACAGTTATTAGAAATCGTTATTAAATGTAGAAAATCAACTTTTATTTCTTATTTTATGAGCGAAAAATCTATATCATTTTGTTTTTTTAATTCAAAAACCTAACTTTTTCTAATTTCCATCCAGTTAAAATTACCAGAAAATTTAAAATTGTTATATATATTTCTTTTGCATTTATTTTCCAAAACATTGAGTCGTAATCTACAATTTTTTTTTTTATAATTTTTGCTGTACAAAAAATTCAGCTTCAGTTACTTTTATCCAATTTAAAGTATTACAATTATTTTAAACATATTTACAAGTAACAAAACTTTCAAAAAACTTTAATTATGTTTAAAAACTTTTTAAAATAAATCATTGTTAATATGAAATAGTGTAATATAAACTTTTTATACAAATAAAAATAATTTTGTAATGTGAATGCAAATCATATATTTTACGAAAATACGAAAATATAAAACTTCATGGATAATAATCATTTATTTTATTTTTCTAATAATAACAATTTAAACTTTATTGTTATTATTAGAAAAATAAGCGGTAATATACAAATGAATGAGCGGTAATATACAAATGAATACTGTATAACAAATATTAAAGATGTATTTTTACAAAATTTGTTTTAATTATAGTAGTACGGTACCTTAATTACAACTAATAAAGTAAACAACTAAATGAGCTGATTATTTAGAATTCTAACGAAATAATTACTTAATTTATGCCAATTATTTATCTTAATGATTTTCGAAATAAATCTAGTAAATTTTGGCTGGATGGCCGAACTGCTAAGATGTCAGCCTACCGCTTAGGCTACAGCCTACCCTTGAAAATCTCTAGGCAATTTTCGAGGGTAGTTCGTCCGGAAACGTCAAATCTCGTCACTCATCTCACCATTGTAGACTTGGCCGAATTCATAATAGGTTTGCTAATAAATGACATCTTTGTGCTCACAGGGAGAAGAGAGTTAAAACAAGTAAAATTTAAATTAAAAACAAAAAAGTGACAATAGATCAGAGCTGACTAACAATACTCTAAGATAATGTATAAAAAAACCACAAAAATAATCTGAATCTAGAGATCTATTTAATTAGCTTTGAGGAAAAAGTTGTCATTTAGTTAACAATTTTTGGTAATAGCTTCGGTTCCGTGACAAAAGCTACATGAAAAAAGTCCAGTGGAAAATTACATACAGAAAAATTTCATTGTCATATATGAGTGTAAGTTTGCCGACTTTTAGGGGAGGATCGTTATTCCCGTGTTAGGATGATCTAGGGTCGTTCGCGTGTGGGTGTGGCGGAGGAGAACAGATGACAAGAATCTCACAAAAACCCGTTTATTTTAAACATAAAATAACTCACACTATGAAACAAAAATGTTCGTAAACACAATCGACTATTCAGAAGCCCTGAACGTCGATGTTTTTCCGTGGTTCGTCGATCGAAGGTGGGCAAAGGGAAGTGGTGTTAATCAGTTCTTAAGGCTGGTAGGGAGACGGTTGGTGTGGCGACACGGCCCTCAGAAAAGACAGGAAAAATGTTCTTTTGTGCGTTGACACACGGCGTCTTCGTGATTCGGAATTTCTGAGTGTCTGACTAACCGAGTTCAGGTGCACAGTTGCACAGTTTACGGAAAGTGAGTCTATCCTTGAAGATCGGGGATTATATCAATCGCCGTTCTCCGATTTGTTTATTCTGATTGGCTCCGCGTCCCTTTTTCCCGCTTCCCGATTGGTCTCTCGACTGTCCTTAGGCGAAGGACGACTCCTGTTCGAGTCACGAGAAAGATCCGCTTCTAAGAATCTACTTGACACCAGCCGTTAACTCTGGATGCAAATTGTTGATGGAACTATGGAACCTGCGCTCATATTTTCCCCCCATTGTTGTCTAGTCTGTGACGTTTTTGAAATTTAACGATTCGACGCGGTGTCTCTTTTCATCATTAACCTTTCCCCTTTCCAAAATTTCTATGTTTTAATTATTTGTATACGAGCGCTTTGCTAAAGGTCCATCTCTACTGGAGGACGTTCGTTTACAATTATTAATCATTTATAATTATTGTGTTCTGTTTACATCAATAGCGTTTTTTTCTTGTCGCGGTTTCATATGACTAGCACAACTAATCCGATCTTTGATCGGTTTTTAACAATGGACGATTTTCTACTTTCGTTTTACCAAATTACTATAATAAATGTTTAATTTCAACCCATTTTTTGGAACCTCAAATGAGAACACGAAAAATTTCTCACACCGAAAAATGCTACACAGAAAATTATGCACATATACTAATTTTCACGAAAAGTGGCAAAAAATTTTCATTTTAGACCTACTTGCTCTACATGAAAAAATTAAAACTTTAGATGTATCGAAAAAGAAAAACAATCTGCATTTCGAAAATTTTTAAAATTGTTTTTATGTATGGTATTAAGTTATTTATTATTAATTTAGTGTTTATTTGCATTATTTCTCTTAAAATGTGTGGTGGGTATGTTCGTATAAGAAATATTATTTAAGATATCTATTTTTCGCAAATTTCCGCTTATAAGAGGAGTCTTGGAATGCATAGCGAGGGCCTATTGTATTTTAAATTGTTATCATTATAATTAAAATATTTCATGTTCATATTTAACAATTTGCGCTTTTATTCTGACGAGTGTAATTAAATAATTTTGCAATGAATTAAAATGGATTAATTCATTGCTACACAAAAGAGTCTGTATATGTAGAGAATGAAGGTAAATGTTTATTTATAAGAGCTTATATGCAGGAAATAAAGGTGAATAGTTTTCATCAACAAACTTTATTCATAAGGAAATAATAATAAAATAAACAAAATTAAAAAATAGTTATTAAATGTCTGGACCCGATTAAATTTCCTCATCTTCATTAGTTTCGGAATGTTATGAAATGATGGTAGCAAAACCTTAAACTTTATTGTAACATTTCATTACAACTACACGTGTTCAAACTTTTTATTGTGTTTTTTTCTGGAGGAAAAAAGCGCGACTTCTTTTTAAATTAAATCAAATTCTAAATAAATATATTATATTTATTTAATTTGCAATGTCAACTTTTTTATGTCGATATGAATCACTTTTTAAAGTAAAGACAGAAAGATATTTTAAATTAAATTAAATTAAATTTATGTAGAGATTGTATATAGTTTCTCAACAACTATAAATGGCTTAGAACTCTTCAAATATTTATTATTATTTATTTGTTTCGTTATTAAAAATTAAAGCCATAGCATAACATTTAAAAGTATTAACATACTTTATAAGACAAAATAGTTATCAATAAAATAAGTCAATATTGTAACTCGATTTCTCTTTCTTCCTATTTTAACAAGTATATTGTGGTAGGCCAAGTGACCACGACAAAGAACTTCTAATCCTAATAATAAAAACAACAGTTTTTTAAAATAAAAAAAACATTATCTGTAATTTGATAAGAGACTTACAAAGAGCAGACACAAATGAGCTATATCAATAAACAACTAACAATGAATGACCACAATTGCCGTCCTTTACGCAAAGAGAAACGCACAGAACTTTCAATTTATTATAGTATCCTTTATAAACATATAATTCTATGTTAATA